GAGTTTAAGCATGGTGATGAAACCTCTTGTTTATATTTTTATGGACAGCACTATAAAAAAGCTCCAGATTCTTGTGTAACTATTATCGAACTTAATGACATAGTATGACCTAGTACAGAGTTTGCTACGACAAGCTGCAAGCGCTGCTCGTCTATCGGGGGGACGGTCAAGTCGTGAGTCTGAGGGCGCGCGCGGCAAGTTGAGCGGCAAAGTTCGTGGCGAATTGAGACGACTGCGGCAATTATTTTTGTGGCCCAAATTTGAGGTAAAGTAGATCAGTAAGGTTAACTGATATCGATAATCTTCTTTACTTCAAATTTGGGCCACGACGATAGACTCTAAATCCGTTCCTATCACCATGAATTTCGCCGCGCAATTTGCCGTGCGCACCCTCGGACGCACCACTTGACACATACCAATCGATCTAGCATTTTTGCGCCCTTCACAATTCGCAAAACCTTGAAGTAGTATTATAAGCTATGGCTAAAATTATGGCGGAGGTGGTGTAGTGGCAAGTGGAGCACTTCACACACGCATGATCATGTGTACCGAATCAAGGATCGGTATCCACTTGGGCCAACCAAGGCTTCCATCTTCTAGGGGTAGGTTAATTGCTACAAGATTTGTCTAGGAGGATAAAAGCCCTTGATTAGGTGTGAAGACTACATTTTCATTGTGCTGTCTGCATATTTTTATCGAGCGAGTGAATGATAAAAAACTGAAGAAAATGGCAACAGCAAGAATGTAAAAGATCTCGAAAAACTGGAAAAGTTTCAATAGTGCTGGTTAGGAATTCTGTTTTTGTGCACAGGTGAAAGGCGAAATGCGAAACGAAGCGGAATATTTTATAGAGCTATGAACCGCGACTTTATTGCTTTTTTAATTTTGCACAAAATTAACACTCTTAGCCAGTTGTAATGGGTAGTTTTCTGCTAAGAAACCTGATTTTTTTATTGAAGCTTTGATTTTTCACTGCTGTTATTCTCTTCGTTCAATAACTTTCACTTGCTGCATAGTGAAGGTCATTACTAGGCAGTAATCTCAGGAAACAAAAGCAAAGAAGCCTGCAATAGGACTACAAACACATAACAGTGTTCACTTGCCATTCACTAGGGTAGGGTAACTACCGATCAATGGTCTTGGAAGAAGAAGCATGAACGAGGAAACATGCAGGAAAAGAGACATACATTACCAAGCATGGTTCAACAGCTCATTGATTGTAGAAAGTCACTTCCTACAACTAGTAATCACCTTAAAATAACGTGTTCGAACGCGCTACGCAACCGCCAATAAG